ATTACATTTCTTGTACCATCTATTTCTGATTTGAAGTTGCAAAGGCTCATATTGCATTAAAAAACAGTAACATTCAATATATGATTTTAAAAACAATAATTCCAAACAAATTTTTTGTATTTTTTTTTTAAATTAATTTTTTAAAATAAACATCCTAACAGAATTTTTTGTTTTTTTTATTTCAAAACTTGTTCTAGAAAACAGTTTTATAAAATGTTTTGAAAACAAAAAAAACATAAAAACAAAACCAAATAGGCCCAATAGTTCTAGTCAATATAGTTAGTTAGCAAAATTTTTTTAGAAAAAACAATACCTATTTATTACAAATAACTAAATTTATTTTCTTAATCTACTCAAATTAGTCAACTAACTCTTATATTTAAGATCAGAAGTAGTAGTACCTCTAGTTCTTAATATAAGACCTTGTTTGACTTTTGTTCTAGTTCTAAATATAAAACCCCAATCCATTTTTTCTCTCATATTTATGCATTTTCTCCCAAGGTAGTTCTTCTAACAATAGTAGTTTTAGCCAATACACTTGATTAGTAAGGATATTTTAGGAAAGACAACACTTATTTATTACAAATAACTAACTTAACTTCTTTCTTTAATCTCTTCAAATTAGTCAACTAACTCTTATAATTAGAATCGGAGGTAGTATTAAATATTTGCGGGTATAAGTATGAGTGTGTAATTGGCATGAGGGAAATTCTTGATTAAATTATATGTATGTGTAGTTATCTAATTTACTTAACCTTGCTTCTTCTTCTTTTTTCCCCCAGCATTTTCCCAATCTAAAGGAAATCTTTCTCTGGTAAAAAAAAAAAACAAAACAAAACAATTATCGGTTGCTTGATCATTCTATGTACTATGATCCCTCATATAAGTAATAACTTGGTGGCTTATATATCCAGTGATAGGACGTGTTAAGAGTAAAACAGCCTGCCTATCACACAACAGAATCCTCAATGATTAAAAGCCTGTAATTTTCCTTTAAGTCTATCTATCTATCTACTGTCATGTGACCTTAATACTTAAACAAGACAATACACTTTATCTGTGGGGTTTTATGCACATAACAAGTTAAACTAAATTATTAGAATGTATATACACCTACAAACTAGAAGACCATACTCCCATCTTATCCACATTATAATAAATTTAATTATATAATAAACCTTTTTAAGATTATGAAAACGTTAAAAACAAACTATAATAAGGAAATGACATGTGAGGAAGTATGTTACAATAGTGGGCAATGCTATGTGTTTAATTATATATCAATTTTTATATTGTTAGAATAGATTCTATTGTTAGGACGAAAATAATTATAAATAAAATTCAATCGAGAACATAGCTTAACGGCGTGTTTAGAAAATCCTAGAATCATCAAAAAAATTCTTTTACGTTTTACTAAATAAAATTTTTGTCGCATGCTTATCTTATATAGTATAAAATACTTTTAAAAAAATTAATTTAAACATACTTTTAAGTTGTTCTCTGATTTTAAGGAAGCAATTAAAAACATTCAAACAGTATAGACTATATTATTATTATGGGCCACGACCTTAATAATGGGCCAAAATCGACTTGGGTTGTGTATTATTACTTCCGGTTCTAATTATAAAATTTTAAGATTTTGTTTGTAGACTACAGACAAAATCTTATAATTAGGACCGGAGGTAGTATATCAAAAGAAAGAAAGAAAAATCTAAAGAAGCAAAAATTTTTTACGACACTCGGATATTTACAGCCTAGTTTTACGCAAATTATGATACAGAGATAAGTTGGGGCTGTAATTTTTGCCAAAAGCAAAGGGGTCGCAATTAGGCCAGTAATACGATGACTTTGGGCGATGAAAGGAGGGGGCCCCTTTGGAAAACAGCAGGTGAAACATGGAGGCCCACATAAAAGACGAAGCAATGAGTCTCCTTGATTTGGACGTGCCCGGACCACAACCATCCCCAAAACCAGTCAATATCAAGATTTTTCTCCTCGATCATCCTCCGGGAACCATTTTTTGTTTTATTATTATTATTTTAATTTCATGTTTATCGTATCGAATAAATGCTTCCCCACCGAGAAAGAGTGAAGCTGACGACTTGGCTATAAAGAATTATACTGATTCTCTCGTAAAGAACGGCAGTGCATAGAGGCCAAAGCAGCACGGCAATGCACAGCAAGGGACGACTTCACTTGTTAACTTCAATGGCACGCGTGATGCAGGAAACAGGAAGGAGGGTTTGGAGTTTCAAAAAGTAAAATCCATTTTCATCAAAAAGCCTTTTTTTTAAAAAAAAAATGATGAAAAAGACTGCTGAAATAGAAAAATTATAAATAAAGACTCATGACAATATTAGTATAGGTTTTGACAACAATTTTTATAAATCGGTCCTTATGTCTAATTTTTCTATTTCTTGGTGGTCTTTTTTTTGTCATGTTTTTTAACCTGAATCAAAAAGCTTTTCCATGCTTATATATTCGTGTCATTTGCTTTTATATTTCCTCAATTATTATTATTATTATTATTGTTTTGATTTGATGTTTGTTGTATCGAATAAATGCTTCCCAACCGAGAAAGAGTGAAGCTGACGACTTGGCTATAAAGAATTATACTGATTCTCTCGTAAAGAACACCATTAAAAACATCAAATCTCAGATCGCTAAGCATTGACAACATTAGGAAGCCACGTTTCCAGGAAAGCCGGTCAGTATGATAATTAACTTGCAGGCTTTACATCGAATCTGAACACAGGTATTTAATATTCCACGATAATATTAGTATGGGTTTTGATAATAATAGTATCAATTTTGACAATAATTTTTATAAATCGGTCTTTATGTGTAATTTTTCTATTTTGACAGTCTTTTTTTATCATTTTTTTACCTGAATCAAAAAGCTTTTCCATGCTTATATATTCATGTCATTTGCTTTTATATTTCCTCAATTCTTTTTATAATTGATTATCTTTCTATTTACCTCTGGAAAGCCCATCCTTTTTTATGCTTAAATTGAGTTGATTATATTATTTTTAACTTTTAATTTGATTCTAAATATAAAATCATAATTTATTTTCTCTCTCATATATATCTCTTTTTTAATGTAGTTTTTGTACTAGTTGCAGATGTTAAAGGTTTCATTAAATGGTAGTTCTAGTTATTACATATGATTAGCAAAAATATTCTATAGAAGATAACGCCTGTTTATTACAAATAATTAACTTTTTTTGGTCTAATATTATAAATAACTAATTTTTTTAATTTATTCAAATTAGTTAATTAGTTAATAGGTTAAAAATGAGCACTATATAATTATTCTCTTATTTTATGATACACAATTAAGTGTCCTCGAGAGCATAACTTTTTCCCAAAGGAAAGGGGTGGTGCGGCACAAATATACAATGAACCAACTCAGCAATTCACATAACTCACAAACGCGTGAAGACTTGGCTTGTTGATCCCAAAAGCAGGAATGATAGGGGTGGTAAGAGGTAAGGCGTACCAAGAACGGATGCCTCGAAAGTTAAAACAGCCAATTTATTCCTTTAATCCAACAACATACATTAATAATTTGAGATTCTAACTGAGATCAAATTCATACTTTTTCACTTATACAAAAATTTTAATACCACTAATACTAAGTTATAATGTCATTAAAAACGTTATGTATGAAAAAGGATATGAAAGATGGAAAATTTTCATACTCTTTATAAGTTAAGACCCATATCCTATTTTTAAAGATTCATGTCATTTTCGTTTTTATTTCCTCAATTCTTTTTACGTTTCCGGTTAACAAATCATCTTCTGCTTACATTTTTTTAAAGATTTTTTTTATTCACCTATATAAAACCCCTCCTTTTCGATTTTAAATCATGCTATCTTCTCCTTGATCTTTCAATGCATTTTCCAATCTAGAGAGGGTAATGGTATTAACAGAGAAAACTTGAAGAACGAAATAAAGAAATCTCAAACAAATACTTTTTCCACTTTTTTTAAAAGAAAAACACAGATCCCTAATAAAAACCGGAAAAATATAAACGTCAGCAAAATGGTTTTTATTTTTAATCTTCGGTGAAAGACAAAACATATATATGTGAATTGCCTTCTCAATGTTATTTTTTTTTATATAAAAAATAAATCTCATCATTGTCATTCCTCGTAATCAATAGCCTATTAAAGCCATAGCCCCACTTTGACCCAAAAAAAAAGAAAAAGCCGTAGCCCCATATGCATGTCTGCGGTCTGCCCCTTTTTATTTTTTTTTAAAAATCATTTTATAGATAGCTATATTCTTTTTAATTTGTTGTCTATGCAGTTTTTTTTTTTTTGGCTTTATTGAATCAACTTTGCTTTAGTAAAGTAGGCAATAAGGGCTAGTGATGAACAAAGCAAAGTTAATGAATTTAATAAAGGAAGAAAAGTGTATAAATCACAATTTAAAAATTGAAAAAAATATGGATATATGTAAAATGATTTTCCTTGTTTTTGGGGCTGATCTTATGTTTTGATATCTTGATTGGGTGCCAAAATTTGTTAGCCATGCATGGACATGAAATAGTTAAACAAATTGATGATGTGAGACATAGCTCGATCACGAAACCATATCAAGATTCTAATAAATTTATCAAGAAGAAAAATGGTTAAAATAATTTTTAATTGTTTACACAAATTTTGATCTTAATTTTTTTTAATTTTAAATTATGGACGTTGATTTTTTAAGTGATAAAATAATCTGATTTTTTTATTAGATTATAAGAGTTCATATTTAAAATAGAAAAAATTGGAGGATTTTATTTTAAATTTAAAGGATCAAAATAAAAATAAATTTAAAGAATAAAAATTGTACTAAAAAAACAGGAAAATTGAAAGGAATATGTAGGCAGAAACTTTTTGTAAAGCTGTTCAAGTCATAGTGAAGCAACACAGCAACACCATCAACACGCGAGCTTCCCAAAAACCGGAATAAGAACCTCTGAAACACACAGATAAATACATGTGAGTGAGGCATTTGGCGATCGCTGAATCTGAAGAGCTTGTTTCAAGAGAAAGCGAGTCTGCAAGTTCTGAAGTTGCCATTTTTGAAGCCTTGGTTTGTGAGAGCTATTTCTTTCGTTTCCCTTCACATCCATCCAGGTTCATTTCTTCTCTTTTACTTCCTTTATCCCATGGATCCATCGCTCCATCTACTGTTTTGCAAGCTTTATTCGCGGAATTTTCGCAGAAAAATTCTGCATTAGATTTGCTGTTTTCTTCTCCTTGTGCTAGCTGTTGATTATATTCAATGTCCTCCATAGTTACCTTACAGTCGTAGATTTAATAAAACTTCAACATTTTGGAATTTTTTTATACTTCTGAGAAACAAAGTCCCAAAACCTTTTGAGATATGGGTGAGCTTGATCGATTAACCAAAGTCTTCGTTTATTTTATTCAATTTTTTTAACCAAGGAAACGGTTGATCTATTTATTATACTACTTCTAGTTATTAAGATAAGATTAAGATTAAAAAAATTACTAAATTATTTAGATTTATCGTTTATCTTCTAATTAATTTGTTTTACTGAGTAATTTTTTGGATTTTCTCAGATATGTCAGCTAGTTTTTATAAATAAGTATTATAAAAGCAAAGCACTTGTTCTTTCTTTCATCTTAATCACTCCCCATTTCGTTGTTATGTGTAAATAAGGCATCGATCTAAACCAACAGGGATTATTTTCTTTTTTTCATAATCCACTTGCTTTTAGCAGTATTTTCCCTAGTATCTGTGTTAATCCTAGAAAACTTCATAATACTGAATTATTAATTATTCGTTAAATTTGTTTGAAGAACTTGACTAAAGAGGAGGAAGTCTGCAAAGCTCGAAGCTAACATTTTTGGGATCTTGTGAGCTAAGCTGACATCCGCCAGGTTAATACTATCCATTAGTTCTTTTCGTTTTCTCTTCCACTTGCTTCATCCCATTAAAATGTACCGTTTTGCAAGCACTTCCCAAAAATTTTCAGGGTTTTCTTCTCACGGGACACATGTTTTGCAAAAAAATTTGTTAATTTCTTTTTTCCTCTAGTGTTGATAATCTCGTCTTTGGCTACCTTGCTTGCTGAAGGACGAAGCTAGAAACGGCTATAACAACCATTGCTCCAATGCTCCAAAAAGTTTTATTGATCATATTGGGAGTATTAATTTCCAAAGCTATCAGACTCATCTCTCATTGGCGCAATGGTAACCAACCTGCTGCTATTGATGCTAGGTAGCTAGCTTCTTCTAAATAACCTCACACTATTTTCTTGTTTGATTTGCTCCTACATATAACGCAATATCTGTTCACTGTTTGTTTCTTTCTGTAGTTCTGAGGATGATGTTATTTTGACTCAAATGAATTCTCCTCCTGCTACCAAGTATGATGTGTTCCTTAGCTTTAGAGGAGAAGACACTCGCCACAATTTTGCAAGTTATCTTTGTAAAGGACTTCAAAATGCAGGCATTCACACTTTTATGGATCACGAACTCCGCAAAGGAGAATCAATCTCACCTGTTCTTCAAAGAACAATAGAGGAATCAGAAATATCTATGATTATTTTCTCCCAAAATTATGCTTCTTCAACTTGGTGTCTGGATGAGCTTGTTCACATATTAGAATGCAAGCGTAAATTTGGAAGGGTTGTGATACCTATTTTCTATAACATAGATCCTTCAAACATACGCAAACAAAATGGGAATTTTGGAAAAGGATTTCATGTATTGAAGCAAAGATTTAAAGGCAACCAACAAAAATTGCAAAAGTGGAGAAATGCTTTAATCCAATCCACAAGTTTCTCTGGATGGGATTCCCACAGTACCAGGTAGCTTAAAAAATGTTCCTTTCGATGTGGATTCTAGGGATTTATTTAATTAATCCTTAGAATTTTACCAAAGTATTGTTGCTTTTTTTTTAATTTTTTATTCCTATTTTCTCCCTATTAAATATGTGTTTTCTTTTTATTGACATTTGTGCTAGACCTGAATTCAAACTTATTGAAGAGATTGTCAAAGATATTTCGAGAAAGTTGGACTATGCGTCATCATCTCATCTTGAAGGACTCATTGGCATTGCTCGACATGTTAAAAACATTCGAAGGCTTCTAACTGGGGCTCGCATTGTAGGAATATGGGGTATGGGTGGTGCTGGTAAGACCACACTTGCTAAAGCCATATTTCAAGAGTTGAGAGCTCAATTTGACACTTTCTCCTTTATTGAAAATGTCAAAGAGCAATTAAAAAGAATTAGTTTGGATGAGCTACAGAAGAATTGCCTCAAAGAATTATTAAAAGATGAGGGCATTAGCATCTATGACATAAAATCCACTTTTGTGAAAAATAGGCTTCAGAGCAAAAAAATTCTTCTTATACTTGATGATGTGGACAAGTCAATAGTAGCGGCAGATTTAACCAAGGTACTTGATTGGTTTGGTGAAGGAAGTAGAATTATTATCACATCAAGGGACATGCAAGTGCTGAAGAATGCTTCTGCTGCATTTTCAACATATCATGTTCCAGACTTGGGTTTTGATAATGCTTTTCATCTCTTTAGTTTGAAAGCATTCAAGCAAGATGAGCCATCTAAAGGTTACATGGAGTTATCAAAATCAGTAGTGAAATATTGTCACGGAAACCCATTAGCCCTAGTAGTGCTAGGTTGCTTCCTCTATGGCAGAGGAAAAGAAGAGTGGGAAAGTGCTTTGGAAAAACTAAATCAAGCTCCACCAAAGGATATTGTTGATGTTTTGAAGTTGAGTTTCGATGGACTTGATGACAAACAGCAGGAAGTGTTTCTTGACCTAGCATTCTTAATCAAGCAAGGAGTTGATATTTCTTTGAACCTAACGAGACAATTATATAGCTCTTCTATGCATATTGAGATTAGTACTCTTAGAGAGAAGTCCCTCATTTCATTTGATAATAATCATAATGATCTTATTGAGATGCACGATCTTGTGAGGAAAATGGGCCTTGAAATTTCAAGCCAACAATTATTCTCTGGTTCCAAAATCCCTGTTCGACTATGGAAGCATAAGGATATTTATCGGTTTTTCAACAATGACCAGGTAATATTTTATTTTTTATTTTTAAATTATGTTCTTTATTCTCTTAATAGTTAATATTTCTTTTCCTTGTGATGTATTTTTTTTGAAGTTATTTGTTTATTCATTAAATTCTTCGATAAGTTTCAATATCTGCCTAGATAGACCCTTTTTTTTAAAAAAAAAAATCCTTTCTTTGACTAAAATTGGTTTGATCAAAGTCTTTCTATTAGGTGTGATTTATTAAGCTTAAAATTTTTTCCAAGTTTAAAAAATTTAAAAAAATATGAGTTATATTAAATATATTGCATATGCTAGGTGTTATATTGAATTTGGTCATAAAAACATATTATTGAATTTGTACTAAATATATTGGTGCAATTTTAAGCATAAACTTTTAAACTTTCCATTAGTTCTAAGATAGAATATGATTAGGATGATATAAGACGTATTTAAATTCAGAGCATGAATGATCTTTAATAAATTATAAAACTATCCACGAAGATTGACATTTTTTATATTAATTGATAGCGGTAGCGAAAACTAATGTAGTATGAAAGTGATTGTGTGTATACTTACACACGCACATGCATACTCACGCGTTTCTAGAGAAAAATTCAATAATATTGCAAAAAAAAGGTACAAATTATGAAATTTAAACATAAAAGAAATTTTAAGAATTTTATATATGCCGGCGGGGTTTTAAATACACCAGTTTTAAGAATTTAAGCATGTTCGTATGGTTGTCCCTGCAAGCCTGCGTATGCATTTGTTTTGTCCAATTTATTTATTGTAAGATAAAATGAGATGTTTGAATAAAATGCAGAAAGGCATATTCATTTAGAAATTCCTGAAAGAAATATGTTTAATTGTTCTATTTATTATTTGATCACCTTTTACATATTACCCATTTTTTCCCATAATTTTATCAGTAGGCGGCTGAGGCAATTCAATGCTCATCATTAGACATGAAGAAGATAAACAGGATTGCAATAACAATCAATAATGTTCAGAAAAATTATAATTTGAAATTGGCTTAGGACTTTCGTGATGCGTTATTTTAGAAGATAAAATTAGTGTACAAAGAATTTTCATTAAGTGATATATACATACACATGTGTGAGCATAACTTACCGTTATTTGAAGTACAATGGGAAAATAAAAAACAAATAATTTTTTGCTTTTACAGTTATATTCTACATATCTACCCATGCATATAGGTATACCCACACTAGTTGCGAATTTATGATTGTTGAGAAATTTATGTATTACGGGAAAAACATGAATTGTAGGGAATTTTGAATAAAATGGATCTAGCAGTGTTAATTTGGATGAAGGTTGATATACTTAATTGTTCTATGGTTTTTATGGTCATTTTTTTAGGTAATGATAATTGCGTTTCCCTCGATTTGATATTATTAGCAGGCAATTGAGGCAATTCGATGCATGTCATTGGATGCAACCAAGATAGAAAGCATGACATTGAGGGCTAGTCATTTTAGAACGATGCATTATTTAATGTCTCTTCAAGTTTACAAGTCACATTGGGAAAATCCTTCAAAGTTGAGTATTTGTGAACCGTTGGATTATCTTTCTAAAGAATTAAGGTTTCTTAGTTGGGAAGAATATCCACTACCATCTGTGCCATTACAATTTTGTGCTGAGAATCTCATTGAACTTAATTTGCCTGACAGTAATATCCAACAGCTTTGGGAGCAGGTACGTATAGTTTCTCATGTCATAATTTTGTTGTTGTTGTGATTCTAAGAAACACTGACTGAAATAATTCACAATGCAAATGTTTGCTTTATTACTGTCTTTAAATTGATGGTAGTAGGAATTGTACTATCTGCAGGAGTCCAACTGTTCTTGTAATGGGTATGAGAAAAATTGTTGAGTAAATTGTACATGCATGTAGTTATGTAATTTATTTAACACTATTGCTTTGTTTCTTTTTTTTTTTCCCCAGCAATTTCCAAATCTGAAGGAAATAAATCTAACAGGTTCAAAGAATCTCATGGCTCTCCCAGATATGTCTCAAGCCCCTAAAGTTAAATCTTTGCATTAATCGTTGTATGAATTTGTGTCAAATGCATTTTTGACTGTCCCGGAACAGGATATCTATTCACTTATAAATGATTGTGGGCGGATGCAGATAAATGTTGGGGGCAGTATGAAAGGGAGAAGTTCATCAAGGTTAGTGATTGGGAAGAAGTATTGGGATCTTGACAATTTGACATTCAATAAAGTGACAATGAAGGTGTTGGTATGTGGCAAGATGATGTGTGGCGTTGGATTTAAGCATGTGACAATGCCATTAAAAGAAACGGCAGAATTCATGAGAATGGTGACTTTACTTCCATTTGTGAGGAGAGTTGAATGGTTAGAGGGTCCAACTGAGTTTGGGCATGATTTCAAGCAACATCATACCTATGATGATTATTATTTTGAAGATAATCGCGGCTTCAGTGTTGCTGCGAGGGTGAGGGGTGATGGAGAAGAAAGGAGCGTGGAGATGATGGAAGATGATGAGGATGAGAGAAAATGATTAGTGAGAATGAAAGAGAAATGAGTAGTAAAGGTGATCAAGTAGTAGAGACGACATTATTATTAATGGAAGATGAACAAGAAGGGGCCGATGAGGATGATAGTAAGAGGGATGATATATTGTTAACAGCACTACTTATTCCTAACAGCATTCCTCGCTGGTCATTATTGAAGAGACTGACATTAAAAGAGAGTATTATTATTGGGAATAATATTGTGGGTTGCAGCAGCGTCCCTCAAGTTTCAATAATCCTCAAATCACTTAATGAAGATTGCAGAAGGAGGATTCGGCCTCTCTTAGTTGTACAACTCTCTTCGCCATTATCCCCTTTACCTCATCATTCTTTCGATGTCTATTATAACCATTTGGAGGGCATGCCACAATATCGTCGTTTTCTTTTATTCAGCAGTAGATACCGGTCATATGATTATTTGGATCATCCTCTCTTAACTGTTTACTTTAACGATTACTGCTGATGATATTAATTATCATTTAAATTTCTCAGGTCATGAAATTATTATTTAAATCAATCTCATTTATTTTTTTATTGCATATTAATATTATGTTTTGTTGAAATGTTAATTTTATGTTTTTTAATATGTAATTCATGTACGGAGGGCCTCCTTACAACTTTATAACATAAAAAATTGTTAATCTTATTTTGACTTCACAATAACTGCGCCTGTTCTGTGCGTTGCCCCTCCATGTGGTGTGAGCATAATAACTAGCATGACAAATAATTTTCTTAATAAGCAATTTTATTATAGGAAAGTAGAATGATTACTTATGAATTAACTCGACTTGTAAATGTTAAAATGTTATAATATTTAAATTGTAAACTTCATTAAAATAAATATATTGTTTGACGGGCCACTGGTCAATCATTCCAAGTTTATCAATATGGTTAATAGGCATTGTTCTCATTTACACTTTTTTTTTCAAAATAAAAAATCTATTTATACTTAGTTTTCTCATTTGAGATCTAGTGGTAATTCTTCCTTCACATTATGTAACATCAAAGATATATTTTTTTTTGAAGTGTGATTCACGGAGCGCTTCCTCATAACTTTTCTTTTTTGGGTCAAAGCTTCCGCACAACTTTAGAAAGTACTCTCGAAATTATTAATCTTAATGTTGCTTTTCAATAATTGTTCTATTTTTCGTTACTTTCCGCGTGTGTATATTGTATAACTTATTTATAAATAAGTGGATAAATAATTTTCCATTAGGAAGCAATTTTCTTGGGATTATTCATTATTCACCTTTATAGAGTATCCCCTGACTTGTACTAAAAAGACTTATATAATCTGATTGTATAAAATAGATTTTACTAAATTAAACTATAATAGAAAGTATTACAATAACTCGTAGTACCTCCAGTCCTTAATATAAAAGTTAGTTTGACTTTTAAATTAGTACCAATCTATAAAATGCAATCATGAATAACATCAATTAGGTCATAGTGTCTATCTAATCAATTTTATGCACATGCACATAAGTATAAGAAATTTAAAATGTCAAAATTCAAAAGGCACAGCTGGAACTCAAAGTCTTGAGTTAAGTGAAGACCAATAATAGGCTTTATTAATATTTCTAACACATCCCCTAACACAAAAGCCCTTGGGCTGTAAGTGCGCAAACTGGAAAAGGCAAAAGATCACATTATTTTCTTCTGAAATTTAATTTGAAGTAGATCGCTTCATCAATCCGGTCTAGATAGTAGTGAAGATCCATGATTTAGGGGTGCTCACAAGTTGGGATAGTTTTCTGTGCAATGGTTTTTTTTTTTTTTGGGGGGGGGTGCTTAGCAAGACAAAAGTAAATAAAATGTACACCAAATACGTGACAAGGTAAGTTTCAAATATAACTGCTGCAGGTAGGGTTCAACTAAAAAAATTTAGAATCCAGAATGATGATGTGCTGTGAAGAAATGAACGTCTAGCAAAATAAGAGTGCACCAAGAAGATGGTGAAAAATACCTCTTACGCATCTGAGAAATCTGTGACCATTCTTCATCAAATTGTGATCCAAATTCTTAGAAATGTCTAAATGTTTTGTTGGCCTTTCTGAACATTTTAGTTCAGAACACGATTCAAGCATATATGCGATAGAATAGAAGTTACATCACATCTCAAAAAATAAAAAATAAAAAATAAAAAATACAAATACAAATCCATGTCATTTCAAAACACCATTCAAGCATATATGCTACAGAATAGAAGTTACATCACATCTTAAAAAATAAAAATCACAAACCCATGTCAGTTCAGAACACGATTCAAGCATATATGTGACAGAATAGAAGTTACATCACATCTCAAAAAATAAAAAATAAAAATCACAAACCCATGTCAGTTCAGAGCACGATTCAAGCATATATGCGACATAATAGAAGTTATATCACATCTCAAAAAAATAAAATCCTTTCAATAATGAGCACAGACAACTGGAGACAAGGCATCTATTTTCATTAGTGCAACATATTGCCCATCGGCTTTAGCAATAAACAGAGAAGGATATGTTAACGTTGTAGTTAGATTAGGGGGGAAACAGAGGACAACAAAAAATAAATCAATTACCATCAGAGGCTTGGGCAACAGATGGATTCTATGCAAGCAGGGTCCAAGTTGAAAATTATCAGTGCATAAGAAAATTAGAGAAGTAAAGACATAATATTATACACAAGTGTAGTTTTTTTTTTTTGGATGAATTTTCTTCTATACCTTTAAATAACTATGCGTCTTGCAGTTCCAATAGTGAGGCGAACTTTTTTAATATATAGGGAACGGATTAAGAATTAAAGTTAAACTACTAAGACAAAATATTGAATTTTTTTAAACTAAAATTGAGGTAAATAAAAATATAAGAAGAGCGTTTCTATTTCTATATGAAGTAAATTAATTATTTTTTTTACTATAAAACCATATAGTTTTTTTTTCTAAGACAATACAAGAAGGCAGAATAAGTAAACAACCGATTGCACCGTTTCTTTAATGTGTATCATGCATATCCATATATGTATATTTCCATCTATAATAAACGGTTATTATATTTCGTTATAAATTTCACAATATCAGAATAAATATTAAAAAAAAACTCCATCTTATGTCCGAATGATCTAAGATTTAAATCTCTCTATCTATTTAATTTCATGTGACTTTAATGCTTAATCAAGACAATACACTTTATAGCCGGGGTTCTGTGCACATAATAAGTTAAAAATTATTAGAATGTAAATACGAGTACAATCTAGAAGACTATACTCCCATATTATCCATATTATAATAAATTTAATTATATAATTAACATTTTTAACGTGTAAGAAAATGTTAAAAACAAGTTATAATAAGGATATGACGTGTGAGGTATAGATTATGATAGTGGGCAATGCTATGTGTTAATTATATATCGGTTTTCATACTGTTAGAATAGATTCTATTGTTGGGACGAAAATAATTAGACATAAAATTCAAACAAGAACCTAGCTTTAAGGGTTGTTTAGAAAATTCGAGAATTAATTACAAAAATTCTTTTATGTCTTATAGAATTAAATTTTTTTACATACTTATCTTATACAATATAAAATTACTTTAAAAAATTTTCTTTATTGTTTCTATGCTTAGGTATTCTGCTATTAGAGGTAATACCATTAGAGATACTATCAGATACTAAATATGAATATCTTTTTCATCAAAAATCTAAACTTTTGATCTGCCACGTTACGAGGAATTAATATTTTTTATTGGACTCAATCCCCGTAACTAGCTGTTCTCTAATTTTAATGAAAGCAGTTGAAAACATTAAAATATTATAGACTATATTACTATTGTGGGCCACGACCTTAGTAATGGCTTAATAGACTTGGGCTGTGAATTACAAAAATGAACCGAAAACAAAAAAGAAAAGAAAGGGGAAAAAAAAATCTAAACAAGCAAATTTTTTTATGATACACAGATATAAAGCGTAGTTTTTTCCCAATTATAATACAAAATTGAGACCAACGAGAATTGTGTCTAGTAAAAGTGATTAGTTTTTTATAACGTGATAAATTAAAATTAAAATTTTTATTAAGAGAGATATTCATATTTAGCGTTGTATCGTGTCTACAAAATTAAGTGGGGTTTCTCCAAAGTGTAAGTTCTGCCAAAAGCAAAAGGGCGCCTTGACTTGCTGACTACAATGGCACACGCGATAGAGGAAGGAGGGTCAGATTTTCAAAAAAAATAAAATCCAATTTCATTAAAAGGAGAATTACAATCAAGTCTCATGAAATAAAAAAAATAACAAAACAAGTTTCAGAGGTTGTTATTTTCATTGTAGAACTTGTCATTATAGGCTGCTTAGGTTGTTATTAAGACTTTTGAGTTACTATTTCTCTTTTGTGAGACTTGATTGTAATTCTCTCCTCATTAAAATGCTTTTCCACGCTTATATATTCATGCCATTTTCTTTTTTATTTCCTCAATTCTTTTTATGCTTAAATATCCTTTTATTTTTTTATTATTTACCTCTGGAAAACCCATCCTTTTCTATGTGTTCTCTCCTCCTTGTCTTTCAAAAGGAGGAAAAAAAAACGTATAATATAAATATCAGCAAAATGGTTTCCCTTTATTGAATAAGAAACATGCATGTGAACGAAATGCCTTCTGAATATTACTTTTTTTTTTGGGAAAAAAACATGATATCATTTTTTGCATAAATTATTTTTTATGGTAAATTATACTACTACTTCTCTCTAACCCTAACTATAAAGAGCTCATGAATTGATTTATGTGGTTTTAAATATAAGATTTTAATGATTTATCAATAATTTAATTTTCTTTAATCTCTATAAATTACTTATTTAGCTTATATGAAATTTAATATTAAAGAAAGTAATTTTTACGAAGTGTGGACTCTAATAGAGAAACTTTTTCTAATAAAGCTGCCCAAGATTTACAATAAAGTAAGCCTTGCAAGCTTCCCAGAAGCAGGAATAAGGGACTGAAACAATTAACAGATAAATATGTGAAAAAGGCATTTGTTGATCTCTGAATCTGAAGAACTCGGTTGAGAAGAAAAAGTTTGCAAATTCTGAAGGTACCATTTCTTAGACCTTTGGTTGTGAGAGCTATTTCTTTCACTTCCTTCCACATGAGAATGTTGAAAACACTTTAAAATAATTAAGGATGTGGCACACAAGGGGAGTATATGTCACACCTATCCCTTATATACTAGTAGAATTATTCTATTTAATCATGATCCATTAAAAGCCAGATTTCATCCTGGGAATTATATATATATATATAATTTTTGTTTCCATTCGGCCTTTCGAATCCTAAATTAAGTCAACTATAGCCAATAGGGTTAAACATTTGACACCCTGGCCATTGGCTCACACGACGAGATATGTAATTAGATACACAAAATTTTAGGCCAAATAATAATTATATCAAAAAAATTTGACCATTTCCTTCAATAGCAGTCATTATGATCTATCTGCCCTTAGTCATCTCCTTATGGAG